CTTAATGATTCTATGATTCTATGAATTCTATATATCTCTGTACCTTCCTGCATCTGGCAGAGATAGGGAACTGGACAGAAGCCCAGAAACTGGGCTCATTCCAGAGCTTCAAGCTGCTTTGCAATGACTGGCCTGGAAACCAATTTTGAGGAACTTGATTCAGGGATTCATTTGTTCAAGTGCCTCATTGCTCTTGGGGTCTTAATAGCCTCAAACTGTTCTGCACTTGCCCTCTGATGAGAAGAGCTGGGAATACCCTCTTCAGCAAACAAAGGAAAACCAAACCAAGCCTCTCTGGCAGGCTGAGAGCGTTGTTGCATCAGCTCACCTCTGACAGAAAAGAGGGAGCTGCATTCCCATCTCCCTTCTTCCCTGTCGCTCAAGCTCAGACACATGGCTTTGGAGCTTGTTAGGCACCTCCATGAGCTAACATAACTCACCAAAGCAGCAGAAACAAACCGTGCAGAAATGTGGATAATTCTTTCCACCTTCCCAGGTTGCACTGGCTCTCCAAAGAGTCCAGCAAAAGCCAGGAAGAGGGGATGGAGCAGGGAAGTGAAGAGGAGCAAGGAAGGAGAGCAAGGCCTGATAAGCACACAAGGTAGTGTGTCTGTGACCAGGCTAGCATTACAAACCTTGAGACTTGATAACCACTTGAAATTTCAGCTGCAGCCTTAATTCAGCTTGCTGTCTTTTAGGCACTATGGCTTTCTTAGGGTAAATTACACCAGCAGTCTGTTCCCAACAATGGGAGTAATTAAAAGCGCTGTTTACTATCTACAGAGCCCTAAATAGTTGAAATCTAATTACTTCCAAAAGACTTTCCTTCTTTTGTCCTGTGGTGACCCCAGCATTAAATAGAATTGCTTTGGCCGTCTTGCCTAGGAATGAACTTTGAGGAAGCTGGAAGCAGAATAATGTCTCTAGAAGGCATTTTCCTGAAGAATTCATTCCTGCCAGAATATTTGCTAAGCCTGGACTTGCCCACATTTGGTAAACGATGTAAAATAATTCTCTGTGCACATGTTCTCCACTAATAAGTCCTTGGCATTCAGCCTACTGTTGTCTGTCTTTGTCCTTTAACATCATGTGCCGTTGCCTGAGCACACAGCCTCCCATCCGGCCTTCGGAAATCCTCCGCTCTGCCCACACCTCCTCCTGCTGCCTGTAGCAGGCAGCAGCATGGGTCCAAATTCCACATGGGTCCGAACTCCCCATGGGTCTGAACTCCCCAAAAACATGACTTTGTCCTGACAGTCCAGTCGCCAGGTTTGGGGCTGGCACACTTCCCAGGCCAGGAGTAGCCTGGAGGACACTTGCTTGGGTCAGGGAAGACCCTCAGCCACGCATAGACATGAAGCCATAATCTTTTGCCTTGGAAATATGCTCAGTCAGCCACAACCACGCACCATTATCCCAGCAGCATTTGCACGTGCACTGCCTTTCTACGTGGCCTGTGGTCAATGAGTTGCATGTGGAGAATCCTCCCACACATACCAAGCTCTGCTGCCTTCTGTGCTGGGGCTACACCTTGAAACACCTGTATGCTGAGCCTCTGATTACACTCACCACGTGAAGGAATTACAGATGCCTTCCTCTCTCTCTTTGACCTCTCCCGGCACAGGTCTGAACTAACATTGTCCAACAGCCTGAGGTACGCCTGCGTCTGCCGCTGTGTAGCAGTCTTTGGAGCTTCGTGGCAGGAGGGATATAAGTGATGTATCTGAGCCTGTCATAAGGAAGGGGAAAGTACCAGGAACTTCTTAAAGTTCCTTCCAGCTTTTGATTAGTGTTTGTTGTGTTTCAGAAGATGATCCACTTCAAATTGGACTGATGGGCTTGTAGGAAATGCCTGTTGTTCCTTTTACTTTATCTCATCTGTGAACTTCAGTGTCCTTTTAGTCCAACTATATTTTTGCAATATGATCTCTGTGTAATTTACAGGTGTAGTTGTGCAAATACATTGTTATATTTTTTGCCCTGCAGAAAATAGGTGAAATGCCTTTACATTCATGAAAAACATTATTTTCCGCCCAGCTCATATAATTTTCTATGATTTGCCTCGACTTTGAGATCCTAGGCCTTCTGTTTTACTATTTTTTAAAACTGATGTATTGCTTGTGTAGGTATTTTTCTCACTTTTATTGTTTATCTGCTTTATTCAGTCACAAACAGTATTGTTTTCATAGAAAAATGTATTAATTTATTTATGTTTGCTTTTCTTTCAGAAACAACTATATATATTTCATCTGTCTTGGATTATTTAGTGGAAATGCTGTTTCATGCCATGTAAATAATCTGCAACTAATCTCTCAGCAACTTCTGGTAAACCACAATATTAATTTATTTCTTTTTAGATCACACTGACAACCATTGGCTATGGAGACAAGACTCCTCTTACTTGGCTTGGAAGGTTGCTTTCTGCAGGATTTGCTCTACTTGGCATTTCTTTCTTTGCACTACCTGCTGTGAGTATGCCTATAAAATTTGTAAAAAGGTAATAGAAACTTCAGTAACTCCTACTGCTGTTATGATACAAAAAGCTGAAGGAAGCTCTGTACACGAAGAACAACTGTTTAAGGCTTTTTGCTCTGTGACATTGGTGAACTGCTGTCCAAAATCCAAACAAAAGATTTAGCGTTGCTGTCATTGCTTGAGTTTTGCGGGCTTTCTCTGGCAAGGGCAAAACTTGGAAATAATCCTAAATTAAGTAGTATACTATTGTGTAAGGTTGAAATTCCTTTCTTTTATTATAAATTGTGGCTCATATATTACTGCTTTTCTTTCAGATTCTTAAAAAAAAATCACCCAATATGTTTTTCTGATTTAGATTTTATTGCAAAAAAAAAAGTGAGATATTTCTAATAGGTTTTCTTGTATGAACATGTTCAGGCTACCAAAAGAGAGTAGTAGAAGGCATTAAACCAACCAAAACTTAATGTCATTGTATGTAAAAATGACATTTAATGGCCGCTACTGTAATTAATTCTTTGTTACCTTCTCACCAGTAACAAGAAAATTAGTGTTTGCGGGACTGCAATGAACATGTAAAAGATAAATAACCTGATATATTAGAGATGCCAGAACTTTTGTTCCTCATGTCATATCTATGTACAGATGCTCATTTTCCTCACAAACACTTTCAGGTTGAATCTGTCTGTAAAACAAGATATATGTGCAGTTCTTTTGCATTTCTAATATTATTTTATCCTGACTAAGAATCAAGTGGAAATATTCTTCCTTATAATGCAGACATGTCCAGCAGAAATATTGTACTCCTTGCAAGCCAAGGAGGGAAACATTCTCAATCTTTGGGTCTGTTCAGCA